TCCCTGAGCCCACCCAGTGCTCCAGCCTGCAAGGTTCCCACAGGGTCCCCCAGCATGCATGCCTCACCCACAGTTACTGGGCTGTCTTTTCTGGGAGTGCCTCCTCTTGTCGTTTCACCTATCCAGGTCTTCCAGTTCAGCTCAGCTGCTACCTCTTCCCAGTGCTTTTTCTCTGGTTGCTGAATAGCTTTCCCCTTCCCTTCCCATGGCTCTTGGCTTTTGGCCCACCTCACACACAGCCTGGTGCTGTTGTTTAATCCCCTTTCCTGTTCCCCATCTCCTTTACGAGCTCCTGGAAGGTGGAGCCATTCTCCTTGTCTTTGACGCCTCCCACCACGCCTGGGATATTGCGGTGCAGCGTGTGGCTGGTGTTTGGTAAATATCTGCTGAGGCAATGAACGTCTTCTCTGGTCCCTGGATGAGAAATGACTGGGGAAGGAGGACACTGAAGGGTGCAGCAGTCAGCCAAGAGGAAGTCGGGTTTGGAGAGGACTTGGAATCCTGCAGGGCTGCAGGGTGGAGCTGTGCCCTTTCATCTGTGCAGTAACTTTAGGCACCCTCGACTCCATGGGGAGAGTGAACAATCCCCGTCTCTCATATTAGTATATCCTCATGGGGATCAAGAACTGCCCCATTCCATTCCACCCTCTTGGCAGCCCTGGGAGGCAGCTAAGATGGTCCAATTACATCCTGCCCTTTCATAAAGGAGGCTCAGCAGGGCCAAGTAGCTTGCCTGAGGTCACACAGCAGGTAAGGGATGAACCCATGGACCATCAGACTTCAGCAGGGGAGGGGAGGGGAAGTGGAGGGAAGATGGGGAGGGAAAGGAAAAGGAAGGGGAAAGGAAGGGGAAGGGAGGGGAGGGGAGAGGGGGCTCCTCTGGGAGCTTGCTGGGGCTTGGTCACTGCTCTGAAGATTCAAATAAATCTGAGAAGGTTGGGGAAGCCCCTGCTGCAGAGACCATACCAGACTCTATGAGGCCAGAGTGAGGACATCAGGCTCTACCACTCCCCCATCTGTCCCTGGAGTTCTGAGCACAACCATTGCTTCTATGGCCACTCACCTTCTGCCCTTTTGCCCGGCCTTCAACGTGGTACATAGCAGAGATTTGAGATATTTGCTGGTCAGTGCCTCAGTTTCCTCTTTATGTATTTGCCCGCTCCCTTCTCTTGGCAGGTAGGGTGAGGCTAAATTAATGTTTATTTAAGGGTTTCTGCATTCTGAGCTGACAGGTGCCTTGTGATGGTAATATATGAACCCAATGTAAGTGCAAAATGCTATTGTTTTACATCTGAGGGTGATGTTTCATAATGGCAATGCACTGTCAGAGCTGTACGCAGAATGAATGGTGTGTCTAATCCTCCCTTGCTCCCCCAGACTCAGAAGACATAAGCTCACATCCCAGGGTGGAGAAATATGAGGCTCCTTGCCTTTTGCTATAAATCTGCCTTTTCATCAGCCCTGACAGGTGGCTGGACAATCCCAGTCAATTCATCAATTAAATCTACCCATTTGTAGTTGCTGGGAACCTTGTGTCCTTGGCTCCAGCAAGATCTGAAGCCCTGGGGTGCAGGAAGGCTGTTGTCCTTGTGCTTGATGTTCCTGGAGGGAGCAAAGGAGGCTTAGGGAAGGGGCTGTCTCAGGAGGAGGAACAGTGGAATGGATTTCCAGCCAGGAGAGAAGGAGAGTGGGAATGCGTGTTTGGAATGGGGTCGGGGTGGAGGAAGGGGTGGGAAGGGTACCCGGCCTGAAAAACCATAGTCTGTGGTTCGATTTGTCTTCCATGGCGTTTCTGCAGTAGAGCGGCAGGTGCATCCTCCAGCTCTGAGGTGAGGCAAAGCTGGGTCCTAGCCTCAGATCCAGCGTTTGCACATTGTATCACTTTGGGAAACTTAGTGAACTTCTCAGAGTCCTAATTTCCTTATCTGTAAAATGGAAATAATAATAAGAACACCCCCGAGGGAGTTATGAAGATTAAATGTAATATCTGTATAATATAAATACAGTATCTAGAATGAACCTGGCACAGAGCCTGGCCTGTAGTTGACAATGAAGCCGATGGTGGCTATTATTATTGCTGGAGGTATTATCATCACAGAGGGCTACATCGTACTTAGCCTTAAGAATTTACTTACCTTCTCCCATGAATCAGTTCCTGAATTCCTGCCTGTCAGGGATTCTCTCGGCTTCCTAAATCCATTTGCAGGCACAATATAGAGTCTTTTTGTACCATAATGGATTTTGGCTCCCAAATCCATGAAGCTGCCAGGGTGAGAGTGCCTGATTAATGAGGTGTCTCAGGAAACACCCAGGTCCCCTGAGCAATGTCCCTGCTCCTAAAAGCTAAGTAGTGTCTGGAATACCCAGAATCCAACAGACACCGCTCCCAGGAGGAGTGTGTGTGTCGTGCATGTGCACATATGGGTGTGTGCCCATGTGTGTTCTTGGCCAGTTGAAAATGGAAGTTGGTGGCCAGGTTGTGTCTGAGGGAGGTGAAGGTCCCCTCTTCATTACCGCAGTGGTTACACTGTGGTCATACATCACAGAACGGTTAAGACAGTGACTCTAGGTCAGACTGCCCAAGTCTGCATCCCAGTGCCATCACTTACTGGTTATGTGGTCTTGGTAAGTTGCTTTGATCTCTCAGTGTCTCAGTTTCCTCATCTGTACACTGGGATACTAATAGTATCTCTCTTAGTGTTGTTGGGAGAACTAAAAGAAGCCATATAAGTAAAGTCCCTAACAACAGTGCGTGGTACATAGAAGATGCTTAACAAATATTTGCTGAACGGATGTCAGTGAGAAAGCCTTTCAGAAAGTGAGCCAAGTCTTGAAAGTGGGACCTGCTAAGTGTGTATTCTACGACAAACCCCCTGAGCCTCAGTTTGCTGCCTGGTGAAATGGCATGATTTCATGTTCTTGGGGAACACCCTTGCCATGGCAAGTTGGGTATGCTTCCAGAGCTCCTGAGGGTCCTGTGCAGAGAAGACTTGCTCCGACAACAACTTTGTGACTGTCACAAAGGAGGCAGCATGAGGAGGAGGATGGCAAGGCCATGTGGCTGCCCTCTCCAAGAAAATGCCTTTCAGCTGCTATGAATGCAGTGCCCGGTGGGGACAGCAAATGCATTTGCTGCTAAGAGGACGCTCCTGGTACCGCAGCAAGAAGCCCACGAATGTGTTTTCCAGCACGTCTGCTAATGGCTTCATCACCGCTTTTTATGAGACGATGTGAATTGCTCTGACCAATGAGGCTTAATGGCCTTCCTCAGCGAGCTGCCTGGTATATTCTCCCCAGAGGCTCGGCTCAGAGTTAAGCCAAGAATATTAATACCGCCGGATGTGGGCCCTCCCCCATCCTATAAAGTTGTGGAAATTGAGGTCAAGTTGGGTCCCCTGCAACAGTCTTTAAACAAGCAGCGGAGTGGTTTGTTTGCTCCTTGATCTTCCTGGTGGAGAGGGAGCGGCTTCCAGCTGGAGACCTGGGACCCGGCCCTCTCTTCCTGAGTTGGTGTCCACTTGATGGGAGGTGGATTTCTTAAAGGGGTAGGCTCCTCAGGAGGGAGCACCCCTTGATTCCAACATTCAGGGCTGCTGGGATAAGAGCAGGAAATATCTAGGCCTGATGATGGGTTAAGAGGAACAGATGGCCAGTCCTCTCAGACAGGTGGCCCTGCCACTGCCAGCTGTAACCATAAGAACATTCTCCCTTGTGGATGAGGGTTGGAATGGCACCATGTCAGAAACGGAAGGGGTCTTTGCAGTCTTGCCCATCCTCTCCCTCCACTTTCCAAGTGAAGGAACAGATGATCTGAGTGGGGAAGGGAATTGCACAATCACATGGTGTCAGGGCTGGGTTTAGAAGCTGGATCTTTTGCCCTGAGTCTAAATCTTATCCACCCACTCTACTGCTGGTCCTCATTCAGTCCTCTGTGGCAACGCATTTCCCAGATTGGCTCTCAAAGTCTCCTTCCTGCAGTCTTCCATCTTCCAGGAGAGCATCCCGGCTCCTGTAGCCATGTATCTCAAGCATGGTTTTGAGACCTTTTACAACTTTCATCTGTGGAATGGTAAAAAGAACACTAAAGTCCTCTTTAGGAGCAGGGTGTTCACATTTTCGTTCTGTAACTTAGCTGTGTGATTCTGAACAAATTCACTAACTATTCTCAGCTTGTAACATGGGTAATTTATAACGGGGGTGATACCATCTCTTCAAAGAGTTGTGCAAATGAACAGAGGTCATGAGTATAAACTTGCCTGCATATAGTAGGTGCTCAGTAACTATTTTTTTTAACTTAAGCATTTCAACATTTCCCCCAATGTGCGGATGTCATAATCATGACTTTGGACCCTTCAACACAGAGTGAGTGGCAGCCTCTCCAGGTGGCGAGGCTTGGCTTGGCAAAGAGGATGAAACTTGGAACTGTTGTCTTTCTTTCTTTCTTTCTTTCTTCTTTCTTTCTTTCTTTCTTTCTTTCTTTCTTTCTTTCTTTCTTTCTTTCCTTCTTTCTTTCTTTCCTCTCTCTCTCTCTCTCTCTTTTTTTTTTGAGACAGTCTTGCTCTGTTGCTTAAGCTGGAGTGCAGTGGCAAGATCTCTGCTCACTTCAACCTCAGATTCCCAGGTTCAAGTGATTCTCCTGCTTCAGCCTCCTGAGTAGCTGGGACTACAGGTGCGCAAGCCTAGCTAATTTTATATTAGCACCTGTAGTCCCAGCTGCTCAGGACCTCAGGTGATCCACCCACTTTAGCCTCCCAAAGGGCTGGGATTACAGGCTGTAAGCCACCATGCCGGAAGGCTGGGATTTTCTATAGATGGGGAACTGTCTCTGATTCACCTTTGCCTGTGCCTGGTATGTAGTCAGTGCTCAATAAGTGCTTATTGAATGACTGATGCTTGAAGGTCTGATGAAGGAGTGCCTGGGCTGTCGCAAGCCTTGGTGGCTTATGTGGGTATTGTCGGAGCCCATGCTAACCAAGTCTCTCCCCTTGCCTCCTCTGCAGCCCGCCCTGAAGATGTCGGCACCAGCCTCTACTTTGTAAATGACTCCTTGCAGCAGGTGACCTTTTCCAGCTCCGTGGGGGTGGTGGTGCCCTGCCCGGCTGCAGGCTCCCCCAGCGCGGCCCTTCGATGGTACCTGGCCACGGGGGACGACATCTACGACGTGCCGCACATCCGGCACGTCCACGCCAACGGGACGCTGCAGCTCTACCCCTTCTCCCCCTCCACCTTCAATAGCTTTATCCACGACAATGACTACTTCTGCACCGCGGAGAACGCTGCCGGCAAGATCCGGAGCCCCAACATCCGCGTCAAAGCAGGTAAGGGATGAGACACCTGCTGCCCCCGAGGGACGGGGGAGGCTGTGCCGTCATTCTGAGGATGTGTGTGTGACATGCTCGGGGGGCTTGCAAGAAGTCATTCACTTAAGAACAGTTTTGTTGTTCTCTTTTGAATCTGAGTTGTACCACTTGCCGTGTGTCCATAGGCATAACAGACACCTTTCTAAACCTCAGTTTTCTCATCTGCAAAGTGGATACAAGTTCCTATCTCTATATCACTACACGCGATGGTTAAATGAGATATGCTCATTTAAATGAGGTACTCATGTCAGCCCTTGACTTATAGAAAGCCTGCAGTGAAGTTTCCTTGAAGCCTTTCATTGAAATATAATATATAAAGGAAAGTGCACACATTGGAAGTATGCAGCTTGATGAAATTTTACAAAGTTCGACTAACTCTCAGGTTAAGAAATACAACATCAGCACCTCAGAAGCCTTCCTCAAGCTTCTTTTCGTAGACTGCTCCCCTAAGAGTGACCACTATCCTGATCTCTAACAATATAGATTTACATATTTTGCTTATGTATGAACTGTATATAAACGGAGCTCGACAGAATGCATTGTCTAGACCGTTTTGCTCACTATTCTGCTTGTGGGATTTATGCCTACTGTTGTGTGTGGTGGGAGGTCATTTGTTCTCACAGCTGTCTAGTGTTCTATCATGCAATGAGACCACACTTTCTTTGTCCATTGTACTGCTGAGAGAATGTCTGAGTATAACATATTTCATGTAAAAAAGCATTTTGGTAAAATTCATGATGGAAGGCTTTTAGCAGTGAAGGATTTTCGTCTTTGGAAGAGTAGTGGGGGCAAGGCAGTAGGGTTTCTCAGATCTATTTTAAGAAAAAAAAGTCCCATTTCTCTGGATTAGGTCAGGAGGCCAAGGGGACAGCTTAGATAGCCATTCTTCACTAGGACACCAGGCTACATTGGTGTGTTATAATCAGTGCTAAGGTGGGTCTCAGATTCATTATAAAGCAGTGAAGTTTTGGGAATGGTTTTCAACTTAGAAGAGCTTTTCAACTTAGAGAGCCAGCCTGCTGCAAGGGTGCCAGGCCCAGGGCACGCCTTCTTTTCCAGGGACTGTGTTGGGCCAACCAAGGAGAGTGGTTCTGGGGAAGACATCCCAACCAGCATGTGGTGACAGCCCCGCTCTGACTTCTTGGGTTCTTTTGCCTTAGGGACACCTCTCATAAGAGCAAGGCTTAAAGTAGCTGGGAATGGGAGTGTGCAGGGGTGAGGTGGGTGAGACTCTGCTTCATTTCATTTGTTTGTTTGGGGCTAGACCATGAGCTCTTAGAACCTGGAGATATGCTCAGACTTTCTCCCTGGGCTCCCCATGGACCCTTTCTAGGAGCAGATCCTTCCCACTGCTCAACCCCTCATGCAACACCAAGTGCTGGGCTGGGAGCCCCGAGGCCTGGGTTTGGAGCCCAGCTCTGGCCTCCATAGCATGGAGGATTGGGCTAAGCAGAAGGAACCATGTTTCGGGTCACCTGCCCCTCATTAGGTTAGGATGCAGTTTTCACAGTAAATCTATAAACGTCTTTTTACAAATGAAGAGATTAAGACAAAGAGAGATGAAGTCACTTGTCCAAGGGCACATAGCCAGTTAATCACAGTGTTGCAGCTATCGTGAAAAGTGACATTGTCAGAGTGCTTTCCTTTTAGTGGACCTTTCATACTCGGCTCTTATGTTGATTTCCTTTTACAAATGAGGAAACCGAGGCTCCAAAAGTTTAACCAAACCTTGTCCAGGACCACACAGCGGGCTAGTGGAGGAGGCAGGGCCCGCTTGTTAGATGCTGTTAACCATTAACCTCTGCTGACTTCCTGGGACATCACAGGCGGCGAGCACCCCAGCCCACCCTTTCCACTCCATCACCCCACTTCCCTACAGGGTTCGTTCCCCTTGTTTTCCTCTGTGCTCTCCCATATCTGGAGGCAGGGCCCTACCCAAACCCATGGAAAGGCTGGACCACAGACCCATGGAGCCACCAGCGCCTCTCCTCTCTTCTCTTTCTTCCACCTCGACCACATCTCCTCCCCATCACAGCCACAACTTGGAGAAGGGGAAAGAATAAAGGCTAAGGGAGGGCCAGACTGACTGGAAACACAATCAATTAAGAGACTCTTGATGATGCCAGAGGGGCTGCAGGTGCACAGCCAGGGGGTGGGGATGGGCTGCCAGGGCCCTAAGTGTCACCTTGGCAACCATGGCAGGGAGAGAAGGAGGGCATGCTGCCCAGGTGCCTGCTGAGGGACATGGTTGGGAGGCAGCAGAGCGCTGGATGTTCCAGGTTTGCTTGGCAGAGAAGCGGGTGAAAGGAACAAGTGAGGCCTGGGAGAGCCCAAGCAGAGGAGGACAAGGCACAGGTCCCATTCCTAAGGCTGGGTCCGCCCGCCTGTAGGGACAGACAAGTACAGCAGTTGCAGATGGCAGTGCCCCAGAAGCCAGCCAAAGCAGGAGGTGGGTGCTGTGGGGGAAGGGGTGGTTCTGAAAGCAGGGGCAAGGCTGGGGGTCAGGGAGGCTGCAGCCAGGGTCAGATGTGGGGAGAAAGCAGCAAGGATGCTCTGTTTTGGAGGAGCTTGGAGACTGTGTCCATGTCTCTGAGGTTCTGTGTGCTCAGAGACAATCACAGTTCCGAACATTCTCTCCCTTTGTCTTTGTAAGCTCAGGATCTGAACTACATTTCCCAGGCTGCCGTTCACGTTGAAGGAGCCCAAAACTCAGTTGTTAGAGCATGTGTCACTGGTTTTGTTTAGGCACATTATGGTCACTGCGTCCAAAATAATCTCCACTCTGGGTCCAGGAAATCCGGTTTGGTTTTCTTAGGGGAATTCTAGCATATTTCCTTATTATGCTGCACATCCCCTTGGTGAATAGAACATTGAAAGGCTTAAATGCTGCCTTCAAGGCTCTTGCAATCTAATACGATTTGCTAATTCCAAAATGGGAAAGTTTGGAATTTGGATGGATGATCTTGCAGAGAGAGAGAGGCCAGATATTTTTGAGGGAGAAGAGGCTGCCCAGTAGGATAGGGAGGCGGCTGATGGAGAAGGAGTTGTGCAGACAAGAACAGGATTATGGCAGGAGCTTCTGGCCTGGCTAAGCAGGAAGAGGGAAGGAAGAAGTGAGGAGGGTGAGGCTGAGGGAGCGGAGGGAGTTGAACTGACTCCCCGTTCCTTTCAGGGGACTCACACCACATCCTTGTGACACTCTTCTCTTCCCCACTGCCAATCTCTCTGCAGTTTTCAGGGAACCCTACACCGTCCGGGTGGAGGATCAAAGGTCAATGCGTGGCAACGTGGCTGTCTTCAAGTGCCTCATCCCCTCTTCAGTGCAGGAATACGTTAGCGTTGTGTCTTGGGAGAAAGACACAGTCTCCATCATCCCAGGTAAGAAGCGTTCCAGGGCTGTGGCAGACAGGGGTGCTGCCTCTGTGGGGAGCAGGGAAAGTAGAGGTGCCTAAGTTGGTTGTTGAGCTCAACAAGATCTTGAGATCGGCTCTGGGGAGCGATTTGGTATTGTTCTGGTGATGCTTCAGCAAAAAAATGTCTTTGGTCTTGGTCTGGCACGTCTCTGCCTGGGGTGTTGAAGACCCACACGCTGGTGGCCTTGGCTGGGTGTGTGAGGGTCCCATCAGACACCGGGTGCAGTGGAGGCCCCATCCTTTCTGGCCGCTGGGGTTTTGCTTGGCCCGGCCCTAAGGAATGGGAGGCAAGGCTGGAAGCACCTTACCTGTGAAAGGTGGCGAGGGGAGGAGGGATGAGAGGCAGGTTCGCGGTCTGTATTCTTGCGTCGTGTGACTAAAACAGTGAGCGCTGCATCCTTGGAGACCCGACTTCAGGAAGTATATGTATGGGGACTTTTTTTCTTCTTGCATGAGTTGGCTAAAGACTCCATCAGAATTCTAGCTGGCCTCGCTTCCAGGCTGATATTGGGAGGCGGGGTTCATACCATGTTGCAGGTTCATCTCATTACAGCTGCTGTGATTGCAAATCCCTCATTACTGGTTCCTTTTACCTCTGTGGGGTTGTGTTTCCCACAGGAAAGTAGGTCTGGAAGCCCCAAGAGAGGACTTCAGCTCCTTAAAATACCTCTAGGCCTCCGTTTACAAAACTGGGGGATTTTTCCACCACCCATTTCTTCATCTCTGCACATTGCAGAGATTCTGCTGCTTTTTCTTCCTCTCTCTACCAAGGATTTTTGTTTTCCTTGCTGTAAATTGGAGGAACTTGACCAGGTGATCTCTGAGTGCCCTTTCAGCAGTAAGGTTCCATAACTGATTGTATGAAATGATTCTTGTTCCTCAAGGTTGCCAGTTTAGTTGGGGAAGATAAGACTTCTATTCATGGAACCTTGAAAGCAGGGGTTTTTAAGCCAGCTCTCCATTTAAATCCCCGCGGAGCTCCCTTAGAAACACCAATGCTTAGCCCCAAATCAACTGAGTCAGACTCTCCCAGGAGTAGACCCTGGGCATCAGCTTTTTCAATGCTCGCTAGGTGATTCTGACGTGTACCTAGGACGAGAACCATGCTCTGGCGCGTTGACAGCTGATGCAGCAGGAGACTTTCTTTGAGACATCAATTTGCCTTTGACTCTCAGTACTTTTTGCTTCTCTCAGTTCCAAGCAGATGGTCAGGCCATTATTTCCCCTGACTTCAGAGCCTGTAGCAGGATGGGAATTCGAAGCTCCTGGAAGACAGCTGCTCCTCCTGTCTTTTGTAAATCCATAGGCTAATAGCAAAGTTAGGATGGGTGTTTTGTCTGGGGAGGAGAGCCTCTGAGGGCAAGGAACAAAGAGGAGACGAAAGGATGCCGGGGATGGGACAGTGCTAAAGGCTGCTCCATGGATGCAGCCAGAAGAAGCGGTTGGACCCCACAGGGGTGGCTGTGTGGGGCCCTTCAGGGTCTGGGACTCAGGCCAGGGTTCTTGTGTTCAAATGAGTCACGAGGTGCACAGCCCAAGAGGTGCAGCAATTATTCAGGCAGGGACCATGGGCTGGTGAGGACCAGAGGGACCCTGGACCTTGGCATATCCTGGGAGAAGCTCCAGTAACGAAGGTGACAACCTCCTGCTTATCTAGCACAGTCAGATTTAAGGTGACTTAACAAACATAAAGAAATGTGGCATTTCTTATATACTTGAGTTTATGGGCTAAGCATTACATCCATTAAGTAATAATAATTATTGCATTAAAATTTGAAGGGTGTTCACTATATTCCAGGAACTGGGTTCAGAAACTTCCATACAGGGTCTCATTTTATCATCCTAAAAAGTCCACAAATGTGTTTCCTCTTCTCCACTTTACAGAAGAGGAAACTGAGGCTCAAAGAAGTAAAGTACCTTCTGGATCACACTAAGCAGAAGGTGGGGCTGGAACCAGAGTCTGTTTTTTCAACCTGTGTGCTTAACCCCACACAGAAGTGCCTCCCCCACCATACAAATAAAGCGTTACTCTGGCTACATTAGGAGCTTTAAATGTGTGCTGTAGGCAATGAGGGCTTTGGTGTTAGGAAGGAGGACAAGTCGATGTAGGGGAAGCTTCATGGAAACAAGTGCAGTGTGGTGATTAAGAGCCTAGAATCTAGGACCAGACAATCTGGGTTTAAGACTCAATCGGTTGCTTACTATCTGGGCGAGTCATTTACCCCTTCAGTTTCCCCACCTGTAAAATGGGCTCATAGGGTTCAAGTAAGAATTGAATGAGTCAATATGTGAACAATGTCCAGAACACCGCCCAATGCTTGCTGATGACAAGTTATAGCGATGATTAGGTGGAAGACAGCATTTGCGTTTGCTGTTGGCTGTGGTGGTGTGTGTTTCTGGTATGGAATGGAGTCTGTGTTCCCCGCAGGACTGCAGTTCCCACGGGCCAGAACTAGATTGTTCTCATTCACAGGTCCCTACTCTCTGAGATCAGGGTAAATAAAAGCTCACTAAATGATCAGTGAGTAGATGAATGGATGGCTGGAAGAATTCTAGAGGAATCTGGAGAATGGCATGGACAGGGGCAAGGAATAAGGATTTTAGGCTGGATGTCGGTGGGGGAGAAGACCAGATCAGACAGGAGAGAAGGGAAGCTAACTGGTTTCTGCGCTTAGGAGCTGGAGGCAGGGAGCTTCCCCCAGGTGGCCCTTGTAGCTGGTGCTTCAGGGCTGTCTTTGATGTCAAGACTGGGCTGGTGGCCCCAAAGGGCATAATTATCAGGGAAGTGGCCTTGATGCTAATCTGCAGTGCTGTGTTAAACCTAGGTTCTGCAGAACCCCTTTCTTTAGTTTGGCCTTAGAGAATTTTCCTCTCCTGCCCAGCCCTTCAACCCCATCCATAATCATTCTAGATCATTCTACAGCTACAGGGCCAGTCTTCCCCAAGCACAGGAATCCAACTAACATGATCATGCAGGACTCCATGAGAGCCAGAGAGAGTGGAGTTCTGTCTCGTCCAGGCTCTGTAGGTGAGGGGACCAGAACTTGGGCCCACATGCCATATGCTTTAATTTTGGCATATGCAAATAGTTTGATTTTTTATAAAAATAGGATTTTTTTCTGCTAACCATATTCACCCTATGCTTAGTGTGTGTGCTGTGCTGTGTGTGTGTGTGTGTGTGTGTCTGTGTGTGTATTTTGAGGTGGGGAAACTGGATGGGAACTTCTCATGGTAGGGGAAGATTACATGGAAAGTTTCCCTGAAGGTTAATGGAGGATGGAGGAGCCGGGGGTACTTCCCTCTGACACTTACTTTAGAATCAGCTTCCAGAACCAGAGGAGCTGTGTTGTCTTTGATCTCTGGATCTGCAGGGCTAGGCTTAGCTTCTCCACAAACCACCAGGCCAGCAAGAGCTGAACACAGAAGGAGAAGCAGGGAGACTGGTGTGAGCCAATCTGAGCCCCAGGAGGCATCCCCTTGGGGATGCAGGTGCCCTGGGAGGAGGGGCCTCTCATGTGAGTGCAGCCCCTGTGGGTGGGAGCTGGCTTTCCCACACCTCTTTCTGAGGGAGCCTCGGAAGAATTGAAGGCTTGGAGCCTAAATGAGTTGAAGGCTTGGAGCCTAAATGAGCTCACGAGTTGGGTGTTTGCTCACAGGTTAGCCTTCCTGGCTATCTCTGGGTATCCTGGAGTGGGCGATGGAAGCTCTCACCGCCTTTTTGGCTGTGCTTTGCCCAGGGCAGGGAGAGGCTGGAGAGACAGACCAAAGTGCTGCCTTTCCCCAGAGCTGCCTACCATACCCCTGTCCACTCCCTCGAGCTGGTCATCTTTCCATCCCACTATTTAAAGACGTGTGTGTAAAGCAGAGTCTTTCACCTTGTATCTGGCAGACTCCCACCCTTGACTTCTCTACCCAGGGATTTGGTCCTCGTGTGAACTGGCTCTCCGAGGCTGGCAGGGTGGAGGTAAGAAGGCCAAGGGCTGTGCACAAACATAAATTAAAATTAAGGCCTCCAGTGAAGCTGAGATGTGGTTTAATTTCCCATCTGCATGATCACCATTACAATGCGTGTTATTGGATATAAAGATAAATCCATCCCTGTTCCTAATAGCTTTTAATTTCCACCAGACCTGATTATATCAATGCAGGCCCCTTGTGGGAGTTTCCCAGCATGCTCTTCCCCAGCATCCTGACTGGCTGTCTCAGCCCCAGCAGGGAGTTTGGGACGCTGCTCAGATGCCGGCCAGATGTGTCTGCTGCTGCTCGGGAAGACAAGCCTGCATAAGCCCCCTTGCCCATTCGAATGGGGACACTGGGTTGTCACTGTGCCTTGGCCAGGCTGCAAGTGCGCTGGAGACACTGTGTGTCGGGGGTCGGGAGAGACAGGGGCAAGGAGCCACCTGGCCAGAGGGGTCCTGTGACATGAGGAAAGGTCCCTAGTGTTGTGTAAGGATTCCTATCAGGCAGTGCTTTCTCCCTGCCATCCACCTTTGGCTAAGAGAACAAAGTGAACCACCAGCCTCCCTAGAGTAATAGACTCCAGAGATCCAGGGTACCAAGTGGGCTTTCATAGTTCTCATTAGATTCAGTGATCTCTTCTGCCTGGGGTACGGTGGCCCCCTCTTCTCTCTATTGACACCCTGCCCCGCTTTTGTCCCTTAGGCTTTGTTCACATGCCGTCTTCTACGAGACCAGACATAGGCCTGCCGGGCAGACATTACTACCCCGGTCTCATTCCTGGAGCTCTGCCTTCATTCTGTCTTGCCTCATAGGCCGTTATTTCTGTCTGTCCGCTGCAGGAGGGTGTACAACTGTATCTCTTTCATCATTTTATCCCCAGAACCAGCACAGGACTGTCACAGAGGGATAATAGTAATAAGTTAATGATAATACTGTCATAGACTGAGACCTCTTTTGGGTTAGGCATTTCACATATATTATCACTAATCCTCAACACAACCCTGT